CAACAGACCGGGGGTACTCCAGTCCGATAACTGAGTGGACCCGAGGGTATCCCAGTCTGATAAATAAGTGGGCCCGATGTATATTGGTATTCCAGTCTGATGACTGAGTATGCCTGTTGTATATTGGCATTCCAGTCCGATGATTGGGGCTAAGGGTAATCTAGCCCGATAGTTGTAGACCCGTAAGTATTCCAGTCCGATGACTGATCGGACCCAACATGCTTTTTTTATATGATATGTGTATTGTGGGGGGGGGGGACTCACTAAGCTTTGTTTTACAGTTTTTGGTTATGGTTTCAGGTACTTCCGAGTAACGTGGGAAGGCGAAGGTGTGATCATACACATCCTAATTTTTATGTTGTTGATCTTGGGAGACTCTGTTTTGAACAATATTTTGAAATCAAGGCCTTTGTAAACACTTTTGTTAGTAAATGGGTTGATTTGAAAAGTTTAATATGGTTGTGATTTTTGAGAGGTTACAATTGTTTTCATTGATTGCTTGTTTGTTAGTTGATAGTAAGTTCTTCTGATCTTGCAAAATCGGTAAAAACCCCCTAAATCATAGTTTGTTTAACAGTTTAATTAGAAGTAGTTAGTAAAAGTTTGTTAGGATATAAATTTAAAACTAAATTGTTACTTTTATGCACATCAAAGTTTCTGGTGCCGTTTCCAGGGAACGGCTTATTTGATTTATATTTGAATTGCTTTTGGTTATTCGATCATTTTTGTGGGGTAAAAACCACAAAGAGTTACTTTGGTTTCATTTTTTTATTTTACTTTTTCTCTGAGACGTAACCACATCATGCTTATATCTACCACGTCATGGTCTTGCTTTAAATAAGTTTTAGTTTATTAATTTTTATTACTTTTACGTGTTTTTTGTTTTGTGATTTTTATTACTTTTACGTGTTTTTTGTTTTGCTTCAGTGATATATGACCATGACCCGGGGAAAGGTTTGTGTTTTGTTCATATTGTTTATTTGTTGATTAAATTTTAGTTTTTAAATTTTTTTGTTTTTTTATGTATTTTCCAAATCTCAATGCTCTTGATGCTTTTTTTTTTGAGGAATTGGTACATGAATTAGACCGAGATGATGAGGGATATGACTCGGATAAAGATTCGAAGAGGTTTAGAATATGATTCGATCATATCTTGCCTGAAGATCAATAACAAGCAAAGTTAAATAAACTAGAGCTAGAAGATGAGGAATTTAATCCAGAAAAAGATTTGGAGGAGCTGTAAAGATTGCTAGCAGAAGGCTCAGATGATGAAGAAGAACAATTTGACTTTAAAGAACCATGCCATGGTGATCATCACCACGACACAAATTATTGATCGTTTGGATTGTGTTTCGAAGCATGGGGTGACTATTCCATCGTTGAAGAAGGTTCTGAAGCATGATTCTTTTCTAAGAAGTTTCCATCCAGTCCCTACTATTGTCAATTTTCTAGAATTCGATAAATGCTCGCTCAATTGGTAGATTTTCGAAACGAAAAGTCAAATCTTACAAATCGGTCCAAAAAAGAATCTTAAATACAACAGATGTATTGGAATCGATGTTATTATATGTTTATTAAGTTGAGAGTCCAACTCAAGACTCGCACAAAAAGAAGCGCTTCTCGGCAGGCAACTCGATTTCTAGTTTGCATTTTCCTTACCTTTTGAGTTCTTTTCGTTTTTAGATTTTAGTTTTTAGTTTTAATCTTAAGCTTAACCACTTGATCAAGTGTTTCTCTAGTCTTCTAAATTTGTTTGTAGTAAAATTTAAAGATACTTAGAGGAACTTAATAGATAAGAAGTCGTGCATTTTTGAAGATCATAATTAAAGAACAAGTTTTGGAATAAGTGTTGGGTTCCCACACAATGAAGAGAAAAGCAATTTGAAGAATATTTACTAAAAATAAGATTGGGAATGGTCCTAGCCGTTATGAAGATTTGATGCCTTGCTATTGATTTTAAAACTCGATCTGAGAAGACACCATGACATAGACATCATTAACAAGCCGTGGCAAAAATTTTAATCATGACTACATCTGACCACACTACGACGTGGCATCCTTACACCACGTCATGGAGATTTTATTTTTCTTGACCATTCATGACTTCCAACTTTACACAAGGACGTGACATTACTTTCCCACGTCGTGACAGCGGTTAAACACATTTTTCAAGATTGGTTCTTTTATTTATTCCGATCCGGCATATTTGTGTTCACAAGAAGAAGGTCCAAAAGTAATATTTCCAACCATATTGTGAGAAGACTAATCTTTCCATACATTTTAAGAATTCGATCTCTCCACTACTACCTAAGGGGAGCCTGTTCGAAGTCTTCCTCTTTATTTATATGTTCTTTAGTTGTTTAAGTATGCAATGGGGACATTGCATCATTTAAGTGTGGGGGAGGGGTTAAATAGATGAATAAAAACTTACTGATAATTTATTTTTGACAAAATGACTACGATTTAAAAACTATTAGAAAGATTTGAAATAATAATCTAAAATTAGACCCAGTTAAAAAAATTGTTGTCTTGAGATCTAGGTTCGTAGTATTGTGTGGGACGATCTGATGCGAGTTGCAATGTTTATTTGAGCCAACATATGTTTAAGTGTATTGTGACTTCCCTATCCTAGTACAATCATGGAACAAAAACACAAAATTGATTAGTTTGAGGGTTGCAATATGTTTAGCATCGTGTACCAGAAATTTATCCGCAATAGCTAATGTAGTCATTGCACATTAGACTAATACATCTAACCAATAAGGGTTGAAGTCAAATTCCCTTGCTTAAGCATATGTTTTTAGACTTTTAGTTTTGAGTAAAAAAAGTGAGAAAGAAAAAAAAAAGTTGAAAAGAAAAAAAAAGACTTGCAAAGTTTGAGTGAATAAGAGTCTAAAAAGCTATAAAGATCAAGAAATATTCTGAAGAAAGGCTACAAATTATCAAAGACTCAAGAATAAGGCGAATTTTGCCAAGTTATCTATTGTATTTTTTATTTTCAAGGTTATTTTTCCATATGTATGCTTGTGGACTTAACCAAAAATACCTTGAGTTTAAGAAAGTTTTCTAGGGATGGATTCGGAGCGATGCATAAAATGAGCGTTGTTCAAAAGAAGTGGGCAAGTATTTATGAAGATTAAGAATATTTAGGATTGAGGAAGTTCTTAGGAAAATTTAGACACAAATACATGCATTGAGTTCTTCGAGTAATGAAGAGGCTCAAAATGGATTGTTTTGTATGATGTTAGTAGCTAAAGTCTTGATATAATGATAATAAAATCAGTTTTGCTTGAGGGCAAGCAAAGAACAAACGTGAGGTATTTTTATATATGCATAATTAACTATATATTTAATGCATATTTCTAATATTTTTAGCTATAATTATATTTAATACGTAACAAGAGATAAATAATATGCTTTAATTATGTTTTGTAGATGCAAAGACTTGCTCAGGACAAAAAGGAAGCATATGAGGAGCATGAAGCAGGAAACATGAGAAAAAACAAAAGAAGAGAAGAAAAGGTCTGAAGACCACGTCGTGGTACCTTAACCACGACATGGTGATTAGAAGAATTGCGACCATGATGCTTACGTGGCAATTACGGGATTTACTCGAAGACCACGTTGTTGTGGCGGTCAACTACGACGTAGTGGTCAGATTTCCACAGATACAAAATCTCATTCATTAGGTCGAATTTAGGGAGATGCATTTGGTTCTATGAGGTTAATTACAACTAATAAATCCTTAAAAGCCTAGAGGAAGTCGAAATTGAAGTGAAGATCAATGATTAAAGAAGATTAAGAAGATATTCAACATTGATCTAGTTGGTTTGCTTCTTGAATTTATGTCTAGCTTATTTTACTTAGATCTAATGTGTTTTTCTGCTATATTGAGAGGCTAATCAACTTTTACTTCTGTTTGGTGAAGATGATCTTGATACTTATGTATTGATTTCAATATTGAATGATTATTATTATCGATTTTACTTGTGTTTAATATAATTAAAATCTAACATGTTTTGGTTCTAGTTTATATTGCTTACAAATCAGATTTTGTGTGTTAATTGATCATATTAATTGCATGAATGTATTTTCTAATTGTTTATGACCATTAAATAATTAGAGCTAGGATTAATCATCTTAGTTAAAAGTAATTATAGCTAATAACTTTAACTGTGTTAAAGAGCATAATTAATATTAATTTGTTCTTCGTTGCTCAACTTGACCATAGAAGAGTAACTAATACCATTCATAGTCCAATTGTGCGATTATCAATTTAGTGTTTAACTTGAGCATGGCCATTTCCTTGTCATCCATAAATAGATAGGCCTAGTAATTTGTCTATAAGAGCTAGATAATTGGTAATTAGTATAATCTATCGAATAGAAATCAACCATAGAAGAAAGTGAAATCAGATCTAGACAAAAATATTCTTTTAATTCTTGAAGTTTAATTGTTTTCGTTTCTTGCTCGTTTGTTAGTTAGTAAGTTTGTCTGATCTTCCAAAATCGGTACCCCCCCCCCCCCAAAAAAAAAAAAAATTCATAGTTTGTTTAATAGTTTAACTAGAAGTAGTTAATTTTATTAATTGAATTCCTTTCCCTGTGATCGACAAGCGACTTACCTAAGCTATACAATAATCTGACTACGTACACTGCCTATAGGTGCATAGTTAGTAAAAGTTTGTTAGATTATAAACTTAAAACTAAATAGGTACGTTTGTGCACATCAGATATTTTGGGGGAAACTCACTAAGCTTTCTGCTTACCCAGTTGTTTATATTTTTAGGTTTTATTAGTGATCGTGGGAATACGAAGGTGGGACTGTATACACTCATTGAAAACATTGAGGAATTTGCATTTTTTATATTACTTTGATTCTTAATAAATATATTTTGGAATAACTTTTTTCTTATTAGTTGATTTATAATTGAGAATTTTTACTTTAATAAAATAAAATTTTGTTTTTGAAAATGGGACGTTATATATTTGTTATAATTTATGCAGATATTTTATAAAAGAGTGGCAGCGAGTGCTGAAGTTAATAAATCTACTTATTTGGTGTTGATAATAAATATTTTAGCTGTTGGAAATTGGAGAAAGTATCATATTCACTTAAGGTATCTATTCATTAATCATAAACTAATGCATCAATTATTTTTTATTTTTTTGTTGTTTAAATGTTATAATATCTCCAAATAGGTATTGTAGTGGATGGAGGATTATGGAGTTGAGGCATCTTGTGACATGTATCAAAGTATACTTGCATATGCACAATGGGTCTGAATATTCTGGAGTTGTGGTTGTTGCAAAAGCAACAAGATGCATTTTTTTATGTAATATGTATTCTTTTTCTTTTGTTCAGGACGACACAAGCATCGGTGATTCAAAAATAGATGCCACCACAATCCGTGCGAAGAGGAATATCTCCATACCTCTACAAAACCACTTTCATTTTATCCAACTTGGAACCATTATTGCATCAAATGGTGTCCATCTTTTTCATTATTGAGAAAATGTATACATTGTAGTTGGTTTCACAAGATTTATGTATGACAAAACTACAAAAATGGTCCTTGTGGTATGCATTTTTTCTGAGATTTAGTCCAAACCTCGACTCTTTTGGCTTCATAATCCTTTTTTCCTAGTTTAGTCCCTTGACTTAAATCCAGTTAAGTTGTTGTTGTTAACCCCTTCATGTGCCTCCCATGTGAGGATATATTTGTCTTTTCACCTTTTAGGGACCTTTTTTGCACCTGAAAAAAATATATCCCCTTTCTTTAAAAAAATTAATACTTAATAATTAAATAATAAAAGAGTTCTCTCTCTCTCTCTCTCTCTCTCTCTCTCTCTCGTCTTCTTCGTCAAGAAAACACACACATGCACACACTAAATGCTATGCTTGAAACCTAAAACTTGAAACAACTTTTGCGATTCCATAAAAAATGATTAAGATCTTTACGCCCTTTGCGATTCCATATGAATTTTGGTTGTCGATTTAATCCAAAGTCATGGTAGTGGGGAAGATGAAGAATGGCGACCACTGATGATGGGTATTCCATGGTCAAAGACTCACAAACAGAATCCACCACTGCAATCAAAGAAGGCTATTATTTAATACAATCGAAATTGTCGTCTGAATCCTAGATTCAAAAGCTGAAACAAAATCCACCACCAACATACCACCTCCCAACCCTTTGTATGATCGACAACCACCCAGCTTCTTATACATTCTTTCACCTTCATCTCCCAACAGTTCCTCCTCCCAGCCTTGTACAAACCATTGTTAGGAACGATTGATCATTCTTAGATACAAGTCACCTACATTCTTTCCCAAAACTAAACATTCATGTCAATTTTGAATTTAAAGTCAAAATTGGAGATGAAGCATGAACGAAACCTAATTTCATTAGTAAAAGGTGTCCAAACATGATTGAATTACTTGAATTTTAGGATACACATACGATTATTACTACAATTATACCTGATATGTTCCATCTGGAAGCGACTAAGAAACAAAATTCGGGATCTTATCCATGAACAATCAACTATTTCAGTGGTTGATTTGTTGAGAAAGGAACAAGCACCTCTGATTCCCTCACTAGTTCGTGAGAGGGAGGAAGAAACGAAAGAAGCAAGGGCTGCTGAAGAAGCTCTTGTGCTTCTTTTATCTTGGAAAGAAAGGCGAATGGGAGGGGGAGAGATGGTACGATGGAAGCAGGACAACAACAACTACAGTGCAGGTGGGTGTTTGGTTGCTATGGAGTCGGCGAAAGAAGAATAGAAGGTGTAAGGAGGTTGTTGCCCTCTTGTCTGTCGAAAAATATCCACCTCCGGTGGGAGTTTCTTTGATTGAAACTGAACAGAAAAAGGGTGGAACAAGGGTTGAACTGGACATCGAATTTTAGGGATGTCTTGTTGCTTTGCTCGACATAAAAATGAAGAAGGAGGGACGAGGGGCTGTTGCTCCTCTGTTTATTGGAAAACCACAAGAACGCCACCTCCAATGGAGGTGTTTTTGGTTGCCTATCGAAGGAGAGAGAGAGAGAGAGAGAGAGAGAGAGAGAGAGAGAGAGAGTGTGAGAGAGTGTATGTGAGAGAGAGAGAGAGAAACTTCTTTTATTTTTTAATTATTAAAATAAATAAATACTTATTAATTTTTTAAAAGAAGAAAGGGGATATATTTTTTTCAAGTGCAAAAATGGTCCCTAAAAGGTGAAAAGACAAATGTACCCTCACATGGAGGGCGTGCAATGGGGTTAACAACAACAACTTAACGGGAGTTAAGACGGGGGACCATTTCCACATATAAACTAGGCCAAAATGACCATGAACCCAAAAAAATCGAGGTTTCGACTAAACCTCGGAAAAAATGCATAATACAGGGACCATTTTTGCAATTTTGTCTTTATGGTTTTTCAATTATGTGTCTCACATTCATTTTAATGTTAGTAGTGTTTAGAATCCTATAGTCGAGTGATAAGGTACTTTCCTACATCTGTGCTATTTCTAATTAGATTATTTCACTTTTTTTTTTTTTTTTTTTTTTTTGGCGATTTGACGATCTTCATGGACACTATAATGTATGTATTTTTTGGTAAGAAAGACGTTTTTTTATTTATCTAAATATTTTTATGTTAGAAACTACATTCATTTGGTAGAAAAGAAAATCGATCTATTTTTTTAAAATCCATCAACTTGACCAACAAGCATTAATGATATCAAACAACATCCAGTGGGTTAGTGACTATCAAACATCAAATATTGAATTCTATTTTACTAATAATGAATAATGATATTTAATTGGGATTTTCACTTTGAAAAGTAAAATGTTTAATGTTTTTGGAACGTCCGGTTATAACATTCAACTTGAAAAAACTGTCTAATAATACAAATATCATCCAAAAAAAAACTACATGATATGAGAATGTTCTGAACATATTGGTTTTAATTGTTCCAGTAGCCAAAATAGCCAAACATTAACCTCATGTTGATGCTATAAAATAAAATATAATAGTTCTTTTGTTTTTAAATCAGTCAACCCGACTAATGTATTATCTACAAAAAAAACAAAAAAAACTCTAGATAAAATAACAATGTACTTGAAAGTAAGATGTTATAATAAACAAATCAACGAATTTACATTGCTCCAAATGCATTGTGTACAAAAAATAAACAACTTCATAAACAAACTTACAGTACATGAGGTTGATTATTGATAATGATTTGTCTATTATGAGTTTTATTTCTTTACTTCAACCATTTGATGATCTTCATGGACAATGTATGTATTATTAAGTAAAAAAGACAATTTGTTACTTATCTAAATAATTTTAATAAATATGTTAGAAACTAATTCATTTGGTAAAAATAAAACCGATCCATTGTTTTAAAATCCGTCATCCCAACCACCAGGTGGGTATAACGCTAGTTACTTATGGCTAATCGGGTGTTTGCATCTACATGTATTATGGTGACTTAGAATCACTTAATCAGTTACATAATCAAAAAACCTAAAACATAGCTAGTTTACCTCAACATCTAAAACTGATTATTAATTTATTAGTAACTTGGAATTGCAATGAATAGATTAAGCGTGCATCCAAATAGTACTCCCAAATATTTTAGGGATTGCTCTGGTAATAGACTATTATCGTCCAATTAGGTTTGATAATTTACTTATGGTTCTCATTTCATGAATCTTAATTAAAAAAATGAGTCGATGACCAAATGATCATTCAAAATTAGCACCATATTTCATCAAAAGCAGACAAACAACTGATTTGGAATGATCTATGAAATATAAGTATTATATAAACCAGAAATTTACAGAAAATGATCAATTAACTAACAGATTAAGTAATTAACAGAGATCTGTACCTGATATACCTTTTGGGGGGAATTTCACACTGACTTCGTTTAGGTTGAGGATGGTCAGAGATGAACTTTGTTTTTATAAATTTTCAAACAGTTACTTTTCTCTACAAATTTATAATTTTTGTACAAATTTTTTATCAACTTATTTAACACAACTTTTATATCCGGTTTCTAAACACACTCAAGCAGACAAGTAGGACCAACCATTGCTTTCAACTGGGAAGAAGTAAAGTCTGCTTCACTGTCATTGCATTTATATGGTATCATTGGAATGCATTTATGTATATGAAGAAAAGTCTGCTTACGCTATGTATGCATTTATATAAATGAATATGATGTGAAACTGTATTTTTAAATGGAAGCAACTGACGGAGGCAATGATTGCAGAGGCAACAGGATCTGTGTGATGGCATCTCGGTTGTGCTTGTGCTTCTATTTCTGCTTGACGATCACCGCCGCCATAACTCGAGCTCAAAACACCACCGATCCAGCTGAAGGTACTTCTTCTTCTTCTTCTTCTTCTTCTTCTTCTTCTTCTCTCTCTCTCTCTCTCTCTCTCTCTCTCTCTCTCTCTCTCTATTCACATCATGGTCGTTCACAACTTCACATCAAGCGTTTCGAATAAAATTTGATTACTTTTTTTTTGCTCCGAACCTTATGCACAGTTACATAAAATGTGTAGCTTGGATACGACTTGAATTATTCAAAATCTAACATAATTGAACTTGTTTAATAAAACTTGATTTTTATTTTAATATTTATAAGCTATCCAAACTCTCAAAGCCAATTCGGACATGGCTTAAAGTCATCAAATTTTGAGATAATATAGGCCTTTTTAACAAAAACATGATTTTTCAATTGTTTTTTTGCAAATCGTGCATATAAAAAACTAGGGATGAGCATCGGAACCGGGTATCCGCTTTTGGAACCAAAACCACATCGGAACTGCCGGTTCTGGAACTCGAACTGTCTTAAGTGGTTCCGGTTCCGGTTCCTAAAGTTATGGAACTGCCTTAAGCGGTTCCAGTTCCAATTCTCATTTTTTCGGAACCGCTACCTGCTGGGTACCCGCCGAATTGATTCTATTTGGATCGAACTAAGTTGCGGTATTATCGACGAAAGTTGACAAAGTTAATGTAACCGGGTTACCCGCTCCCGGAACCGGAACCGCCGGTTCCGGGAGTGGTTCCAAAATTTTAAGAACCGCCTAGAGCGATTCCGGTTCCGGTTCTCGCCAAATGAGGCGGGTACCTGCCTATGCTCATCCCTATAAAAAAACTTTTAAAAAAATATTTATGTGATTATAAATATAAGTACAATAAGTTTTATGCAATATTGAATTTGATAGTCCGTCGTTAACGAAAACTCTTATTCATAATCATAAGTCATAACCCTAATCGAGAATTTGTTAGGATGAGTTAGGGGTGAACATTTGGACATGTGGATCGGACCAAACCGGTGAACGGGACCATTTTTTTGAACCCCTGGTTGGTTCTCGGTTCTAGGATTTCAGCAAAACTTCTCTGGTTTTTTTACCGGTACAGTCTGGCCGGTTTCAAGTAAAAACTGGTTTTGGATCGGCTTATTTTAAAAAAAAAAATTGTATTTTGTAAAAAAAATTTAAACAAACATATTCCATTCGTTTTAAGTTGGATTGATATGCTGTTAATTTTCTCCGACGTGTAATTTAGAGTTGTAGATGATTTTAGACTACAATTTTTTTTTTTTTTTGTTATATTTGATGAGTTACAATCCTTTAAATATTAGATATCAAAGCTTAAATATTTCAGCTATTCAGCAAAAATTTAAACGTTTGTATTTTGTAAAAAATTTTAAACAAGCATGTCTCATTCTTTTTAAGTCGGATTAATATATGGTTTTTTTATCGTGTAGTTTAGAGTTTGTAGATAATTTGAAATTATAATTTCATTATTTTTGATTTTATATTCGATGAGTTACAATGCTTCAAAGATGAGATATCAAAGCTGAAATATTTCCGCTTTTCAGCAAAAATTTTAAACTTGTGTATTCTGTAAAATTCTTTAAACAAGCATATCCTATTCGTTTTAAGTCGTATTGATATGCGGTTTTTTCCAACATGTAATTCAGATTTTTTAGATGATTATAGACTATAATTTTGTTGTTTTTGGTGTTATATTCAATAAGTTACAAGCATTCAAATATGAGATATCAAAACTGAAATATTTCAGTTTTTCAACAAGAAATTAAAAATTTTGTATTATGTGAAATTCTTTAAACAAGCATATCTCATTCGTTTTAAGTCGAATTGACATTTGTTTTTTTTTCCAACATGTATTTAAAGTTTGTAGATGATTTTAGACTATAATTTTTGTTGTTTTTGGTGTTATGTTCAATAAGTTACAATCATTCAAACAAATAGTAAAAATTATAAATAATCAAAGTTTGACCGATCCAAATGGCACAATAAACGAAAATGTATTCATTTTTACGAGTTGTACCACATCAAACCCAAAAAAGTATTCGTTTTTTAGAGTTGTAACATATCAAACCCAACAACATATTCGTTTTAACGAGTTGTATCAAACCCAAAAACGTGTTTTAACAAGTTGTATTGTATGCATATAAAGTTGTGTTATTTCAAACAGGTCAAAGAATTGGAAAACCCAGACCTAGACCTGGACACGGTAAGTCTCATCCGGTCCGGTCTACAGTCCACAATATTCTTCGAAATTGATCTGGTCCAAGAGCCGGTCTCGTCGAAATGCTCACCCCTAGGATGAGTAGTGGGCCTTTTCATATGTGACTAAAAATAAAGGGTTGCATTTAATAATTTGTGATTGTGATTGACAAATATCCACCGACTTTTACGTCTCGTTCCTGAGTTTAACAAAAGAAAAAAAAAAAAGAGAGAGAAGAGAAAAGAAAGTAATGAGAGAAAAGAAGAGAAAGGAAAGGAAAACAAAATTTTCTTTCGTGTTCCCGAGTTGGAGAGAAATGGAAGGAAAATGAATCATTTGTTCTTTCTTTCCAAATCCTCCCAAATCGGAAGGAAAGTTAGGAGAGAAAGTGATCCTCTCGTTTCCCTCCTTTAATAAAACTCTGGAACACCAATCTTTTTTATTTTATTTTCATTTCCACTCATTTCCTTTCATTTCTCTCCTTAAGTTGAACTCAAGAATGGGGTATTATGTCCTCTACTCTTTTTCCCGATAGAACGGCACAAACGCCTATAGGGACAACAGATGTTGGCGGTACGCCAGGTGTGATTGTGAAGATTCGTATGAGATGTTGAGATTATGGACATTAGGTTAGAGTTAGGGTAACCTAGGTTTGACAATGAAGTTCAAAATTCTAGATCACGACCTCGCTCTCTGTTTAACTAGTGAAATAAGTTTTCGATTTTGTTACTTTGAAGAATAAAATCACTAGCAACAATGATTATGATCTGGAATATGAATGAAACTGAATAAAATTGGTGTTGCAGCACGAGTTTTAAATGCAATGTTCAGCCAATGGGGGATACCGGAAAGTTCAGTAACACAGATGGGATGGAACATAAGCGGAAACCCATGCAGCGGCGCCGCCTTGAACTCTACCGACTTCAATGCCTTCGGTTACAATCCCGGCATCAAATGCGACTGTAATTTCCCCAATTCTACTACTTGCCACATCACCCAACTGTGAGTACTTCTCTTCCTTCCTTCCCTTTCAAATATACAACTCTGTTATGTGGGAATAAACTTTAGAAACTTGTTACTTATTTGTATTCTATTTATCTTCTAACAATCATTCTCTCGCTGAAAATTATCAGAAAGGTTATTGGAATGGATGTTGTGGGTCCAATTCCAGAAGGACTCTGGACTTTGACTTACCTTACAAATCTGTACGTATACAGCTGTTTCTTCACTATACTGTTATACTAATGAAAGTTGTAACCTAAAAATATATATTCGTTTTATGAATATTTGTGCTTGTATTATGTTAAATAATCAAGTGTTTGCTACAGTCAGTTGGCCCTGAATTACTTAACAGGTCCCTTGTCACCTTCCATTGGCAATTTAACTCGGATGCAGATCATGTAAGCCATCCCTTTTTGATACTTTAAACTCAATTAATAATTTTAACCTCTATATATTTAAGAATACATCTGAGATTTCAGATATATGATGAGAATCTCAACTTTTTATAGGAGTTTTGGCATCAATGCATTATCAGGGCAAGTTCCACGAGAGCTAGGACAACTTACTGATCTTAGATCACTGTATATCTCTTCCTATTTTGTTTGTCTTTCTGCCATCAAGCAACAACTTCTTCTGTTTAATTCTTTGTTGCTTACAATTTTATAATCTATATATTTTCGATGTTGCAGGAGTTTAAGCACAAACAGTTTCACTGGTCCCCTACCATCTGAACTTGGAAATTTGAGAAGATTACAAGAGCTGTAAGAGCACTCATCTTGAATCCTCTTTCATTACTATTGTACTCACTATTACCTTTTGTTATGCATATATAATTGTAGACAATATCATTGATTAAATCATCTAATATATATCATCTTTATATACATTGAGTGTGTCAGTTTCATTGATAGTGCTGGATTTGGTGGTCCTATACCTCCTTCATTTGCTAACTTACGAAACCTGCAGACAGTGTAAGAGCGTTTATCTTCATTGATTTTTCAAAGCTGAATTTCATCCATCATATAAGAATCGTGACTCTTTCTTTTTTATAACGATTTCACAGATGGGCTTCTGATAATAATTTCACAGGCAGAATACCAAGCTTTATAGGGAATTGGTCACAATTACGATCCTTGTAAGCAAAGCATTTAGAATATATACATGCTTTTCATTGTGAACATTCAAAATATAAGCTATGTGCTTAATATTCTTATAGGTGGATTGAGGGGAACTCTTTTGAAGGTTCAATACCACCTTCATTTTCTAGACTGGCCTCTTTGCAGGAATTGTAAGCCTTTATTCTCGTAATAACTTATAATTATACATTGCAAGTTGGTATTTTGATCTTTTAATTTGCATAGAATTAAATCAAAGTGGTCGGGTTCTATAATGTTACAGGGGCATAAGTGGTTTATCTAATGGAACTTTGGATTTTATTAATGGCTTGAGGTCCCTGAGTATCGTGTAAGCAAAATATATAGATCTTATATTTGTTTTATCGATGATTTGAATATAAATTATAACAAGATGTCATGATCTCTTGCAGAAGGTTGAGGAATAACAAAATTTCTGGCTCTATTCCAAATGATATAGGAGAGTATGAAAGCTTGACAGAACTGTGAGTAATCTGCATTTTTATTGAAGTATTTGAATACAAAGATTTACTTAATAAGTGAAACATGAATATTAACAGCTATTAAAGAAAAGCTCTCTAATGGTATTTTCTAGGGACTTGAGTTTCAACAATTTGAGTGGGGAGATTCCAAGAGGATTATTTAGCTTGAGCCAAATGTCTTTATTGTAATACCAATATTCGCCTTTTATGATAAATAATATTTTTCATGCAATTTGGTCAATAAGGCTCAATGTTGACCAAATATACACCTCATCATTTGCAGGTTTCTTGGAAACAATAGTTTAACTGGTACTCTTCCCGATGTAAAGAGCACAACTCTCCAGAATATGTAAGTGATTATAGGTTATTTAATTAAGAGAAATTGTTTTTTCTTAATTAATTTCCATACAAATTTCTTCTTGCAGTGATCTGTCACACAATGAACTATCTGGGACACTTCCTTCTTGGGCCGATGACTCGGGCTTACAACTGTACGTGTTTGATTTTGGATATTGCTTTTTAAATTCTCATTTGTACCTGTATTTGGAGTTTATTTTCTATCAAAAAGTGGAAACATACATAAGTTTTTTAGCATAGCTTTTGGAGCTAATACCATGTTTTTAATGCGTGTACAGTAATATAGTCGTCAACAACTTCACTATAGGTGATTTTGAAGGCAGGTATTTATATTGAAGCTACAACTTACTTCTACGTTTATTTCTACAGCAATCATGACAAAAAATGAAAGGGTTGTATAAAAAATGACCACCTTTTTATCACTTATCACAAAATAACCCCTGATTTCGAAAAAAAAAAAAAAAAAAAAAAAAGAAACAAAAACAAAAACAAAACAAATAGGCATTCTAGCTGAAATGTTAACCAATTTTGGTTATGTTTGGCGTACTAGCTGAAAAACTAATTGTTTTAGTTGAAAAGCTAGCTGATAGCTAGTTGTATATGAAAAGTTAGCTGATAGCTGAAAAGCTAGCCGATAAAAAATAATGTTTGGTAAACTAGCTGAAAAACTAATTGTTTTAGTTGAAAAGCTAGCTGATAGTTGAAAACCTAGTTGTATATGAAAAGCTAGCCGGTAACTGAAAAACTAGCCGATAAAAAATAACGTTTGGTAAACTAGCTAATAAGTTAGCTTAAATATATAAAAATTATATAAATAGCCATTCAAAAGAATATGTTTTTTATAGTTAATTAAGGGTATATTTGGAAATTAAAAAATACTTCTAAAAAGCTACTCTAAGTAGCTTTTTAAAACGCTAGCTTATAAATTATTTTTTGGTTTGCCAAACATGACAACTTAGAAAAGCTCAAAAAATAAGCTAGTTTATCAGCTAGCTAACTATGGCGCGCCAAACACAACATTTGTTGCATCTAATTTTGCTTGCATTTCAAGAAATACTTGAGTTTACCTAACTTCCAAGAAAATAAATTTTTTGAAAATGGTATTTTTTTTTTTTTTGCGGAATAGAATAAAATTCGCTAAATATGGTTTCAGAGAAAGTAATTTCTCATGTTATGTCTCATGTTCAGGAACCTTTTTACTCAAAATATGTGGTTATTTTGTGATTATTTTAAAATGTGGTCATGTTGTGATACAGACATTTCCTATTTTTGTGATTCACTCGTTTATTTATTTTTTTGTTTCTTGCTAATTATAATGCAATATTTTTTTGTCTAAGAGGTTTGCCTTTAGGAGTGGTTTGTCTCCAAAGGGATTTCTCTTGTTATCCTGGATCACCAATATGTAAGCAAAAAACATGAAGTTTCTCCTTTTATTATGTAGCAAAGTCTAAAAACATTATATTTTGGAATTTTCTCAGTTTAACTACCTAAAGATTTTTTTTTTTTTAATTTAGTCACTAAGACTTTGTTTCTGGGGGAATCTTCGGCAAGTCCCTATATTATGGGTTCATTAACAATAAAGTAGTCTTTATTATTTTGAAAAAAAAGGAAAAAAAAAAAAAGAAACCGAAAATCATTTACATATTTTGGATTTTAGTCGGCAATCTTCATAAAACTCCCAATCATTTGGGCTAATTATAATAAAGTCATGTCTTTTTGACAAAGGTTATCTTACTACAATCTCTTTGTCTGATTGTGGATCTTGTCTCGTCTTACTATATGATGTTAGCGTTTAGAAGGGTATAAGGTGGAAATACAGATTCCCAGTGGATCGTGTAGGTTCGTTTTCCGAACTATAGTTATACCCTATGTCTGAGTTACTAGTATAATCCAAAGGGATACTTACGAATCTAGGCACAGAAACGCAAACCAACTTGCTAGAACAATTTAGAGTTTGTCAGAGAAGAAGAGTTGAGAAAGGTGTGCCTCACCTCAAAGAGAAGAACGGTATTTATACTTAATTAGGGTTTCCATTTTCTGAATTAGTCAAGTAATCGTGGGATTTAATGGTATGCTCAATGGGACCATCGTCAGAAGCTATTCCCCTTAGACCCCGCTGGGGACGATGCCCCTAGAACCCTGCAAGGGGGCTCGACCCCCTTGACCCCCACCATTTGGTCGTAGCTGCGTATAATTAGATCTTACACATGTGTGCACTCCACACACCCCGGTTATTATAGAGTACAAATTATAAACCCCTTAACTCACATATTAGTTCCAATTACACAAAATGTTTGGTGAAATTAAAATCACCAACATAAGATAATACCCTGAGAATAAATTAAGATTATTGACAGAGAGAATAAATTAAGATTATTGTACTATAATATCTTTTACATAAAGAATGAATTAAGATAACAACACTATAATATCCTTTTGCAAAAAGAATACAGTATGATTACAATTTGATAATATTCTTTGTCGGACAGAAAACAAAGAAAATGAAGTAAGATAATAGTTTGTCATTTTTTGTTGAAAATCCTGACTTTATCGTTAATGGTCCCCGAATATATAGAATATATAGAGAGTTTTCTAAAGATTACCGGCTAAAATCCAAAATGTGTAAACGATTGCCGGTTTCTTGTTTTTTTTCTATAAAAATATAAATTCATGGCTTTATCATTAATGAGCCCATAATATAGTCCTTTATGAAGATTTCCCTTTTTCAGAAAAAAGCACCTTAACCGGGTATAAAGTTGGCACGTTTTCGTGGTTCTTTACAGATAGTAGCTTTGGAATCAATTGTGGTGGCCCACAAATTACATCCTCAAGTCAATTAGTCCATGAGCAAGATAACGAACAACTAGGGCCCGCAACATACTATTTGACTCCCGAAAAGAGGTGGGGTGTCAGCAATGTGGGAGTAAGTCTAAGTGACAACCCCCCCAAATACAGAGTCTCCACTCTACGCGAGTTTACAAACACTTCAGATCCACAACTCTTCCAAACAGCAAGACTCTCTGCTGGATCTTTAAGATATTACGGCTTAGGACTTGAGAACGGCAACTACACTGTAAACCTTCACTTCGCAGAACTTGAGATACAAGATGGTCCCACTTGGAGAAGTCTTGGAAGGCGTGTATTTGACATTTATATCCAGGTCTGTGTTAAAATACGTTTTCATAATTACAATATTTGAATGACTAACGGCTTGAGTTGTTAGATGACAAAATTGCAAGAATTGTCCTTGTGGTTAGTTGAAAAATGTCATTTTGGTCCAAACAAGTTTGGAATAGCACTAGATGTCCAAAGTTTTCATTTTGTTGCGAGTTTTAAAATTCTTCAAATGACGGATTTTCCCTTTCTGTTTGTTTTTTTCCATGTTTTATTACTATTATTTAATTACACATGGTTCCACCTCTGTGTGTGTGTGAATGATAAAAGCTACCATTTGTCTGGGGAAGAATCTTCAACCTCATCTTCTTCATTTTATATTATTTAACCAAATTGCATGGACTATCGCATCAGCAATTAAAGATTTCGTTTTCTGATTTAATGTTTGTACTTTGTATCCATCATCTGAGTTAAACTCATTTCTTCACCTTCATCTAGAATATAAAATCCATATTTCTTCATCTTTATCAGAAACACCCATTGTTTCAACCCATTTCACATGACAACAAATACCGTCTATCTTTCTTTCTGCTAATCGAACAAGCATACACACCAGACATTGGAACTCAACTAAAGATTGCATTTGATTATACGATTCCATCCACAAAATTTAACGGGGTCTAACATTTGATCACGCTATATTGTGTGTGTGAGAGAGAGAGTGTGTGTGTGTTCTCTTTTTTCGTTTTTAATTTCTGTAATAGAAAAACTGAAAAAGAATATATCAAGGGCAAAATCATCTTTATAAAAAAGTTAAAATCAAATTTGACCAAACTCTCAACAAAATGAAAAATTTGGACCTCTGGTGCTAGTCTAAACCTTTTTGGACCAAAGTGATAATTTTCAGCTAACCATATGGATCATTCGTGCGATTTTGTATCGTTAGATTGAACGACAAAGGGATCAAGTTTGCAACATCAAACAAAATTGGTCCCCAAGTATAGCCAATATATGCAATTTTGGTCCCAAAAAAGTTTTCTCTTGCAATTAAAGTCCTTGTTTATGGTTTTCATATTGTTTTGGTTCCAGTACCAAGTAACATGCCTATATTTTTTGGACCAAATTTGCAAGATCGGTTATACTCAGGAAAAGTTATCGTTTTACTTAAACCCTCAAATAAGAACCAAAGTTGCAAGAATAAACTAATTGGGACCAAAACTTAAAAAATCAACGGACCAAAAAACCAAATTTATTCAAATTAGAGTAAATTGCATTTTTGGTCTCTGAGTATAACCGACTTTATGCCCTAATTTCTGTAAGTTCGTTTCTGAAATTTTGTTTTTTATTAGGGAAATCGGGTGTTTGAAGATTTTGATATAAAAAGGGAGGCAGGGGGAGCTTCATTTAGTCCTGTTTCAAGGGAAGTAACAATCCAGGTGTCACATAACTACCTTGAGATACATTTCTTTTGGTCTGGAAAAGGGACTTGGGCTGTACCTGACCAAGGAACTTTTGGACCACTTATCTCAGCAATCAGTGTCACCCCAAGTAAATATTCTTTCTTGAAGTTTGTTGTTAGTTTTTGGTCTTTCTACTTAACAAAATGACAAGATCGCCCTTTACTTGTTCTTGTACAGATTTCATCCCTAGTGTGAGCAATAGTCCACCTTCCAACAAGAAGAAGAATAATACCGGTTTGACTGTAGGGATTTTGGTTCCGATTGTGGTTGTGAGCTTTTTGGTGTTATTAGCCCTGTATATTCTTCGTCAGCAAAGGAAAAAGAGGAATAATGATGACAACTATGATGAAGGTGGTTGTCTTAACTCTTTTTTTATGGCATAGATGAAAAATGTTTTTCATTGTTGATTTATTTCATTTTGCATTTCTTTATGACTTTTTCTTGTCTTGAATTGCAGATTTTTTGGGAATTGAGGCAAGACCATATACTTTTGGTTATGGAGAATTGAGAGATGCGACAAATGATTTTAGTCCTGCAAATAAGCTTGGGGAGGGTGGTTTTGGACCTGTTTACAAGGTAGTTTTATACTCTTTTATCAAAAATCTAGTATATGATTCTTGAAGTCGGACTAAATTATCATTATTTGATGGAATGGAATGACAAAAGAATGGAATGGACTCGATAATGGTATAAGCAAGATAATGGAATGGGTAATTACATTCCTTTCTCATGCTTGGTTGGCCTTTAGGATTAGATTGACATTTCATATGTTTTTTTATAGTATGTGTAAATACAATGTATTACTTTAGCTCTACTCTATATATTACTTTAAGAAATAACCGCTAAAATAACCAAAATGGGTGGTGCCCTATCACGAAATGACCACTTTTTGAACAATTATCACAATATAACCACCAATTTTGCAAAATTGCTTAATGAATGGTCCGCTAGAATAACAAATTGAGGTTTTTATAGTGGGGACCATTCATAAAGCGATTTGAAAACATAGTATTACAAAGTCCATTTCGCAAAAAAGGGATCTTGCAAAATAAAATAAAATAAAATAAAAAACTTAAGGTTTTTGTAGTAGGGAGCTTTCATAAATCAATTTGGAAAGTAATATTGCAAAGTCCATTTTGCAAATTAAATATGTGGTTATTTTGTGATAACTATTCAAATAAAAAAAAATAAAAAAAAGTGGTCATTTGGTGACATAATACCACCCATTTTGGTCACTTTTGTGATCATCTTTTATTTGAATTAGATTAAATTACATTTTTGGTGCCTGCATACAACTGATTTTTGCAATTTGGCCCTAAAAAGTTCTCTTGCAATTTTTGTCCTTATTTGAGGATTTTGTAACTTTTTTGGTACTCATATACAACTAATGTTTCAATTTTGGTCCAAAAAAATAGTCATTATACTTGGAACACCGACCAAAAAACATTGTATAAACCTCAAATAAGTAGCAAATTTGCAAAAGAAAATTTTTTGTGAAAAAAAATTCAAAAAAATCAGCTATGGAAATTGAACTGCTAGAACAAAAATTGAAAGATTGAACTAGAAAAATAAATGATTACAAATGGTTCTTGGCATCCGGGAGGCCAAGTCTCTCCCAGAAGTGTGACTTCTAACTTTTCAAATGATGCTCACCGACTCCCACCATACCCCCATTTGCCTCATTTAAACCGCCCTAACTATTAGAATGACCAAAATGCCCCTCCTTAGATCCTTTATTATAGATATTGCATTTCTATGTATTTCCTATCCTTCGACTACAAAAATGAAAAAAATTAAAGATAGTGAAGGCTCTTAAGAATCGAAACTAACAATAATTAGTTATTCTAAAAAGTATAATTAACATAATACGTTTTAAAATACTTGTTTTTTTTAAAAGCACATAAATAAAAATGGGTTATATTTACAATTCTTCATTCCATTCCAAGGTGGAATAAAAATAAAAATAAAAACAAAAACAAAAACTAGCTAAAAATGGAACAAATAATGTTCTCATTCCTTCATAAATGGTCCATTCCATTCGATCAGGTAAAACAAAGAGGTATTTTTCATTCCAATGGAATGAGTTCACCATTCCATTCCTTCCCCAATTTCATCACACCATATCCTATCTTAAAATTCTCTTTGATGAAAAACAGGGAACACTTGCTGATGGGAGAGTAATAGCTGTTAAACAACTCTCCATAGCTTCTCACCACGGTAGGAGTCAATTTGTGGCAGAAATTGCTACAATATCTGCAGTCCAACACCGTAACCTTGTGAAATTATACGGATACTGCATCGATGGAGCAAAACGACTTCTTGTCTACGAGTATCTTGAAAACAAGAGCCTCGATCAAGCATTATTCGGTATAAAAAATTAATTACATATTTTTAGCCATTAAATATAAAGTACTAAAGTATAATTAATGCTGTATTGTTACAATTTTTGGTCTATGATGTAGGAAGGAAAAAATTGTCACTTCCATGGTCTACCCGTTTTGAAATATGCATGGGGTTGGCACGTGGTCTCTCATATCTCCATGAGGAATCGCGCATACGAATTATACATCGAGATGTGAAATCTAGCAATGTTTTGCTTGATTCTGATTTGAATCCTAAGATATCGGATTTTGGTTTGGCTAAACTTTATGACGACAAGAAAACACACATGAGTACTCGTGTTGCAGGCACAATGTAAGATTATATACTTGATATAATTTGAATGAATTACATTTTTGTTCACTAGTTTAGCTGATTTTTTCAGTTTTGGTCCGAATGGTTTTCTCTTGCAATTTTGGTCTGAAAGGGCTTCTCTTCCATTTTTGATCCTTATTTGAGGTTTGTATAACGTTATTGTGACATGTTCCACGTAAAATGTCTATATTTGGTTCATGAGTATAGTTGATTTTTTCAATTTTGGTCCCAAAAGTTTTCTCTTGCAACTTTGGTCCTTATTTGAGGTCTTTGTAATTTTTTTCGTCCTGTTCCAAGTAAACTGGCTACAATTTTTGATTAAATGTGCAAAAATCAACCATACGAACAAAAAGTAGTCATTTCACTTGGAACGGGGGTCAAAAATGTTAAAAGAACCTCAAATAAGGAACAACGTTTCAAGAAAAAACTTTTTGAGACCAAAATTGAAAAACTTAACCATACACAAGAACTAAAAATGGCCATTTTATTTGGGACATGACCAAAAATATTACAAGAACCTCGAATAAGGAGCCAAATTATAAGAGGACTTTTTGGGACCAGATTTACAAATAACAGTCAGACTTGGACCAAAAATAAACGTTTTACTTGGAACAGAGACCAAAAACGTTACAAGACCCTTAAATAACTACCAAAATGGTATGGGATAGCTTTTTTGGGACTGAATTGCAAAAATCAACCATACTCGGGGACCATAAATATAATTTACACTTAAAATAAGAAGCTGACAAAGTCTTATTGATTCACTATCATATGTAGTGGGTATCTGGCACCAGAGTATGCAATGCGTGGACATCTCACGGAAAAGGCTGATGTGTTTGGGTTTGGAGTTGTTGCTCTAGAGATCATCAGTGGAAGGCCCAATTGCGATTCAAGTGTGGCAGATGAGAAAATATATCTTCTTGAATGGGTATGTTTAATCTCCATTTTCTTTATAAATGAATTTATGCACTCAACAAAAGGGTTGATGTCATAGAATGGCATCCAGTTTACTGGTTATGTATTTTTAAGGCCCTAATCATTTAATTCTACTTGGTAAGTCACTAAACATCCAAACCGTATTCAATTACACCATTGGGATCAATTTCAAGAAAGAGTTGATCACACAATTGACCAAAAGAGGTAAACATATAACACCAAATGATCGTTTTCATTAATGAAGACCTATTTCGTGTAAAAATTCACAAAATTTTATTCTTTTTTGCAAAAAGTGATGTTTATTTCTTTAAAAAAACATGTAGGTTTTTAAAATATGGTTTGGACTTTCCAGAGGTTACTTCTTTTTCTAATGCAAAGTGTTCATCAAGTTCCCAGCGTGTAATCACTAACCAATGTAGAATATATAAACTAAAATAACAGCCTGTGTTTGCTTACTACTCAGATATGTCGACAGAACAGAAGAAAATAAAATCTTGATTGCAAAAGAATTAATGTACTGGATGGAAAATGAAAGCAAAACCCTCTCGTATAAGTCGTATTTTATTCATAAGAGAAGGCTATATATAGCACTCTTAAAAGTCACATGCAGTACAAGAAAAGAACATAAAGACTCGTACAACCCTACTGACCCATTCTTCCCATGTGCTCCAAAGTCCATGGAATTGGTTAAACCAAAAAAAACAATTCTATCTACTAAGCTAATAAAATATAAGATAATAAATACCTATTATAACTAAAGTTTCAGCCATGCACAAACCGATTAATCCGACAACCACTTGCCATTGTTAGATTTTCAAAAAACTTAAGCTCTCAGTCTTTATATATATAGATATAATTACCAATACATAACATAAACATTTTTTTAGCAATTTTATTCAATCAGCCATACTTAACAATTTTTTTATTTCACAAAATTAACATCCTTTTTGGGAAAATTTTTGTCAGAAAAAGCAATTTCGTGAATTTGCATTTCTTTTTGCGAAGTACTATTTTGTTAAATATGTTCAAAATGTCATTCATTTGGAGTTATGTCTCTATCTTGGTGATCATTAGCTCTCTTATAAATCTCATGTGGCGTCTACATGGAAAAAATTGTTCCTATGTCCACATGGTGCTGACATGGCATCCACATAGACTTTTATACTTTTGCATAAAATGTGAACCAACTTTGGTATGATTTCAGGCATGGAACCTACATGAAGGGAACCGTGAACTCGTATTAGTGGATGAGGAATTGTCTGAATTTGATGAAAATGAAGTGAAAAGAGTAATAAAAGTTGCCCTTTTATGCACACAAACTTCACCAACATATCGACCATCAATGTCGCGTGTGGTGGCTATGATTTCGGGTGATGTTGAAGCAAGTGGTGTAATTACTCGGCCTGAGTATTTGACCGGTTTCAGTTTTAATGATGCTACAACTTTTAAGAGTGCAGTTCCTACATCTACAACTTCGGGTGGTAATGGTAGGGCTTGTACGAGTAACTCGACTGTTTCACCATTACTGCTTTCGCCACTTGATATTTACCGACCCATGCTTTATAATATTAAGGGAGAAGGTAGGTGATGTCATCACCTAAATTCCATTCATGGTATATATATGTAAAGTTCCTTGATTTAGATTTTAGACTTTAACTAGTGGATGGCTCGCGGGTTTATTAATCATATATTTTCGACACAATTTCTATAATATTCCCTTACATGGGGGACCATTTCTATAAGTTTTATGAAACACATGGACCATTTCTATAAATTTATAAAACATAGGAACTATTTCTGTTATTTTTCTATTAGGTACGGACCATTTATGTAATTTTGTGAAACACATGGACCATTTCTATAGTTCTCATATTGGAAAGAGACAATTTCTTAAAATTTGTTAACACAGGGACCTCTTCTGTTATTTTTCTATTAAACATAGATTCCGAATGTGCACACGACTTTATGAACGCTATTAATTGTTATAAGTTGGTGAAAATATAAATAATAATGTATAATAGATATGTGAAAAAAAAAACAAAGCGGAAAAAACGTGTGGTGCCCGAAATACAAAAATATGAAAAATTATTAGCTAATTTTTAGGTAATTACCTACGGATTGGTGACGTAGTTCTGACAGAAAACCTTTTTCGTAGCTATTCCATAGGTAATTACCTACGGAATAGCTACACAAAAGGCTTGCTATCAATATTCTATGTAATTAGCTACCGATTTTTCTTATTTTTGTATTTTCGGGCACCAAATGTCATTTTTTCTACTTCGTTTTTTTCACGCATCTATTATACATTATTATCTGTACTTTCACCAACCTATAACTATTAATATTGTTCATAAAGGCGTGTGCAACTTCGGGGTCTATTATTGGCTTCATTGTTTAACATTATAATGCTTACACTTTCATTAACAAGCTACTTTGTTTCTTTTAAATACATACACATACACACATAGACATACACATACACATACATATACACATTCAAATACACACATACATATACACATATAAACACACATACATATACATAAGCACACACATACACACATACATACATATACATACATATACTTACATACATACATACATACATACATACACATAAGCACACAGGTACACACATACTACAAGGTATATGTTTTATCATTTCCAAAAACTTGTAACATCGATATTCAACGAGTGGCCAGGTGACCCTATCCAAGTAGAGAATTCAAAGGCTACCTCGAATATCAAAAGGTAGATCCAAGTGACCAAGTGATCATGTGCCACAAGAACCATAATAATAATGAGTGAGTGTTTTTTCGGAATGAGTTGTGAATCAATTTCACAACTCCTAAGATGTTCCAACAAGACTTGGTTTACAAACCTCATTTTCTTTTTCATAACAAAAGGTTAGCGATGATCTCATTAGGTTGTATTTCAATCTTCACTATGAAACAATTTGAACAAATAAAAAGTTTCAACAATAATGAAAAAAATTGTCAGTGAAATTGACTAAGAATCTATCATCAAGACTACTCTGAAAAAATTACATACATCACTTATGTGTAATTCTTTGTCAAGTCTTATGTTCTTTAACTACTAATAGTTAAAGACACTTGCGAATCATCTTCCCATATAAATAGGATTCACATATGTCAAATGAATCAAACACATTTGCCTTCAAAATTTTCATCCTTTTGAAGTTGGTGTATGTGTTTCATATTTATATAGTCATGATGATTATGACATAGATAAGTTTGAATCAAATATCATTTGATTATTTAGGTGTCATGATCAGAAATATCAATTTAATGAAAGCTTATAGATTTGCTTTATAATTAACACTATGAGAAAATATTCTTTAACACAAAATACATCATTTCATAACATGAATGTGAACATTCATAAAGCAATAAGTAAATCTAGATTTATTCATAAATTTACAACTGTTACATGTCCCTATAAAATAGGCACAAAACATCTATTGATTATAGATGTTTTGGTTGTGGATAAATTTGTTAATCAGTTGACATTAAAGAATCACTTAATCAATTAAATGAAAAAGTTGAAGAACTATCAAAAAAGATTGTTCAAATGATTAACCAAGGCTTAGTAACTACAAACCAATTAGAAGCCATCGCTGCTAAAATTATTAATGAAATGCAAAAGGAACTTCAAAAAAGTTCTTGCAACAAAGAAATTATTGATATAATCAATAAAACTACTACAGTTTTAGATCCTAAAACTGAAGATAAAAAGCCATTCACTGGTAGGTACTCATGCCCTAATTATAATGAAGGAAATGAAGAACTAGGATCATCAAGGAATCTCAGTTCTATGACATGGCCTAAAGACAACTTTAAATCAGCATGATAGATTATTTATCTAAAGTATAAACATTCTTTTGGGATAACTATGAAGATGAAGAATTGATAATCAATGGATCAATTGTATCTATTCTTGATCAAGCTCTTAGGTTACTAGATCTTGCTGAAATTCAAGGAAAGGATACAATAAACTTAGAAATCTCTACATCTGAGGAACTTAAACAACTTTTCCATTTTGATGAAACGATTAACATCATAGAAAAAATATCTGATAAAGAAACTTCTTTATGTATTTCAGAAGAAGAAGTAGAATCTCTTTCTTCTGATATAGAGCCTAACTTCGGGATGAATAAGACCGAACCACATTTCAATCATCCTGGAGAATCTTCTTTTCAAGGTGAAAGAAGAAAAGGATCTAAAATTGAACAAGGTCATAGAATTGGCTCATGCCAAATCTTCCCACTAGAAATCCAAACTAGTTCGGAACAAACATTCTCAATATTGACAACATTGAAACAAATAGAAAAGAATTTATCGAAAGATGGACTTCAGAAATAAGTCTAATCATTCAGACTAATAAAGAAAAGTATGAAACAAAAGAATCTATCCTTTTATTGTTTAACCATAAAACATCAGGAGTAGTTCAAAATTTATCAAAAATACAAACTAGATTAGTCATAATCCAATGACAGTATTCCGAGACATGCTTGATGTCATCTACATGATGTTCCTTAGTATAGATCTTATACAAGACAAAGCCAATGAACAAAAAAGAGAAATCGAAAAAGCAAAGTCCAGACTTACAAATCTTACCATATATGATATTTGATTTCTACATCATTACACATGTGACTATGTGTAACACCCATAAAATTCGATCAAATTTAAAACTTTTTAAATCATTTTAAACCATTCAATTAATACAATTTGTCTCCAAAATAGTTTATACATAAGAGTTCCCAGAAATCATAATTGTTAATCGAGGAAGTGTACGGTCACGACTTCGCCTACCTGCGACCATTCGTTAAACCTAAAACAATAAACTGAAATTGTAAGCCCAAGGGCTTAGTGAGCTACCCCCAAATACCAATACCACGCTGGTAATACCATATCAGTAACAGA